CCTTTGCATCGGATTTAATTGGTCGAATTGGGTCATATAAAATTGGGTCTTGAATCAACTTAGTTCACAAATCCATTGGATGGTATTTTGGCCCGAAATCCAAATTACCAATAATTGTGGTGGATTGATATTTAAATTTAAACAAGTTCAAACCCACCTATAGAATTGGGCTGTGTCAAAAATCACCAAAGTCCAAACCTTTTGAAGTTAAATTAGGCTCTCCTAAACCATGCGTCAATTCAACACCACAACTGACTGCGTTTGAGAGCGGGTCACTTAGATCTAACTCAAACAAGTGGGGTGACGTAGATCGAGCTTCGAACGGATATGGGTATGCGCCAAACACTACGAAAACACTGCTGTCTGCGTTTTGCTGCAGTGAAAGCGCTTTAAATCCACCACCGATGTTGCTGGATACTACGGAGGAACACGAGTCACCGAGTCTAAGTGGTATGGGTTGTGGGTTACTGCTAATCAGCCAAGACGTCGCCAAAATGCCATTGGAAACGTCGAAGCCGTTGGATTGTCGATCTGCACGCCGACGCCGCCAGACCCTACTCATCGCCGCGCCACCTAAGTCTCCGAATCGTCAGATTCTCTCATTAGGGAGGGTAATGCGGGTGGGTAACGAGGAAGGAGGGGAACACGAGGGTAGTGGCTCACGCAAAATGAAGAGAAGTAGGGTTCTAGGGTTTCTTTATATGTTTTGAATTAATAGGTCCAATTACCCAATTTTTGAAAACAAAGCCCATGAGTTAAAAGAACTAAAATTCCAAATTTTCAAATATTACTAAACTTAATTGTTTCCAAATAGCTTAAATAAACAAATAAGCCCAAAGATCCATAAAATTTGGCCACAAAATACACTTCAGTAATTAAAATAAAACTCACAATGGCACCATGACAACCCAAAAGAAAATAAAGTGGAACAAACTAAAATCAATTAAAATAAAATCTGAATAAAACCCCGAGACCCGAGGTTAATCTAACATGAGTAACGCGGGGTGTTACATTAAGGATAAGAAGAATCAGGAAGTTTTTGCCAAGATAAATGAACTAAATGAAAAATAGCAAAGATTTATGGGCAGTTCAAGAAGATTGAGTGGAGAAATTAAATTAGCATTAGATGATATGAACAACCGCTGTAGGTTGGATTTCCCTCAAAACAACCTCGTTTCCGACTCTTTAGAGTTGTTTTTCCCTCCCCCTCTTTCCATTACTGTTGCTATGGATGTAGAAGGTCAAGAACAGGTTATCGGTGATTCCGAGCACGACACAGAGCCATTGAAGCATTTGGATTCGGCCACGGTCGAAATCCACTGCCAAATTGCGGCTCGGGCAATTTTGGAGAACACTTCACTGGCCACTCTACAAGGTATTTCGTCTCCAAATTTTCCAGATCTTACTTTGACTAAAAAGCCTTTAGTTTTTTATGATTTAGAACAGGAGAAGACGACGTCGAAAATCGCCAAAATTTTAGTGGCTTTGAATGAAGACACGGAAGAAGATCCCTTGGAGGATGATGGAAACGGTAGGGATGCTCAAGAAAGACTGAATGTTGATGGAGAGGATGAGGATCTTGGAGATTTGCCCCAACAAGTTCACGGAGATGAGTGTGAGGAAGAAAAAGAAAAACGATGATATCTCTCAGTTTGAAGTGCGAATACGTACTCCAGTGCATGAGTCACATCAAGATGAGGAGGAGGTCACTGTTCAAGTGCAAGAAGGAGCATCCGGTCTTGTGGATGTCCCTGATGAGGCCACGGATGAATCATCTTCCTCTTCTTCAAAAGGTATGACCCCTTCTTTTTCGATATAGATGTTTCTGACCCAAATTTCATTGATGCTGCAAAAAACTCAGAGGAAGAGGTGTGTTTAACCAATGTGGTGAAAAAAACAAAGAAAAATAAAACTCCAGCCAAAATTACGCCTGGTGCAATTTCGAGACCGCGCACCCGAGGCATTGTTGCGCGTTTGGCCATCTAAAAAAGCCAAGAGGTCTAGGGCACTTGGCGAGGCAAAAGAGCATCATAAGGAGGTAAATTAAGAAGACCCCACTACTACCAAACAACAACCATCAAAAGCTAAAAGGGTGAGGTTGGAAGTGAAAAAACCCGACTTTACAGTCTATAGTATGTTGGTTGAAAAGGGGTTTGATGATGAGCAGGAGCCCGTGCCAGAACATGTCAAGTGATGGCTTGTGGAGAATAGCTGGGAAACGTTGTTTGCCCCACCTATGCGGGTGTCAGAGGCCTTGGTAAAATAATTCTATGCTGCCATTCACCTAAACTGAGGAGATCCTGTGAGAGTAAGAGGTAAAGTGGTAAAATTCTCTCCTTTTGTTCTTAACACTCACTATGAGTTGTCGGATATGTTTGATGCAATAGCTAATGAGATTTTGGTGCATCCTACGGACAAACAATTGGAGGAGTGATGTAATCCAGTACGAAAGAAAGAAGTTTATTTCATAATCTCCTCAAAGATACAAAAAAGTTAGTATTTATAACCATCTAAGACGCAGCTAACTAACTAACTAACAACCTTAGAAGCTAAACTAACTTTCATTAAAGGTTAGTTACATCAATTCCCCTCCTCTAAAAAAGGAACTCGTCCTCGAGTTACACAGCCAAGGCGAAAGAATCTGGAGGATCATAAGGATAAATGTCTGAAACATTGAAGATGAGATTGATGTTGAATTCCGGAGGGAGTTTGATTTTGTAAGCGTTCTATCCATACTTTTGTTAAACTTCAAAGGGTCTAAACTTCTTCTGTTGTAGCTCATGGATAGACCCCGCTGGTAATCTTCCTTTTGATAAGTGTATCATAACAAGATCGCCTTCTTTAAATTCAGTTGCCCTTCTTTTGCTGTCTGCCTTTGCTTTATATTTGGCATTAGCTTCCTCGATGTAATTGAAGACATCTTGATGTAATTTGGTTATCCTTTCTGCCATTTGCTCTGCTTCTAGGCTAAAATCAACAGTAGAAGGAATATTAGCCAAGTTTACAGTTAAACGAGGAAGTTTTGTATAAACAACTTCAAAGGGAGACTTCCCTGTAGATCTAATATTCATATGATTAAATGCAAATTCTGCTCGTGCCAATGCCAAGTCCCATTGTTTAGGTTTGTCGTTACACAGACACCGAATGAGGTTTCCAAGTGTTAGATTAGTCACCTCCGTTTGGCCGTCCGTTTGAGGATGGTTGGTGGTGTTATACTTAAGAGAGGTGTCAAATTTTTTCCAAAGGGTCTTCCAAAAGTGATTTAAGAATTTGACATCTCTATCAGAGACAATTGATTTTGGAATGCCATGTAAACAAACTATTTCCTTGAAAAATAGGTTAGCCACACAGCATCTAAAGTTTTTTTACAAGCCAGAAAGTGAGTCATTTTGCCAAACTGATCGACCACAACAAATACTAAGTCATATCCCCGTTGGGTTTTAGGTAATCCTAACACAAAATTCATACACAAATCTTCCCAAATTGTACGTGGAGTGGGTAGAGGTATATATAACTCCGTGTTTTGTTTTTGACCTTTATTCGTTTGACAAATGTAACATTTAGAGACATAGCTAAAAACATCTTTTCGAAGCTGTGGAAAAAAAACGAGTTGCTACAAGAGTTAAAGTCTTATCTCTACCAAAATTTCTGGGTAGGCCACCTGAATGAAGATCTTTTATTACTGCTTCTCTTAAAGATGTGTGGGGAAGGCATAAGGTGTCCCCTTTAAAGAGGTATCCATTCAGTAAATGGAAATCTGCTGTATGGGTGTGATCAACACATTTGGTCCAAATATCATGAAAGTCAGGATCATTATTATAAGATGTAGGTATATCCGAGAAGGCTGTAATTTCTCTTTGGAGAACGGTGAGGAGTGCTCTTTTTCGACTAAAAGCATCTGCAGCCTTGTTTAATGTTCCGTTTTTATGTCTAATGACAAAATCGAAGCGTTGAAGAAATGAAAGCCATCGTACGTGCATGCGGCTAATTGATTTTTGTGTTTGCAGGAATTTAAGAGAAAAGTGATCTGTGAAGAGGATAAATTCCTGACTTAATAAGTAGTGTTCCCTTTATTTTAGGGTTCTAACAAGGGCATACAACTCTTGCTCATATGTGCTCCAAGTTTGACGAGAGACGCTAAGTTTTTCGTTGAAATACTCAATAGGGTGTTGGTTTTGGGATAGGACAACACCAATTCCAATGCCAGATGACCTCAAATGGTAGGGTGAAGTTAGGGAGGCGTAATACAGGGTTTTGGGGGAGCTTAGTTTTTAAAGTTTCAAAGTTATCCTATTGTTTTTGTCCCCAATGGAAATTTCCTTTTCTTAGGCAGTCAGTTAAAGGTCTAGCTATAGTACTAAAATCCTTTATGAATACTCTATAGAAATAAGCTATTCCTAAGAAACACTAGACTGCTTTAATAGTTCGAGGTTGAGGCCACTCTAAAATAGCTTGAATCTTAGAAGGATCCATTCGCACACCGACATTACTAACAAAAAATCCTAGGAATGATATCTCATTAGTTAAAAAGATACATTTTTAAAGATTTATTACTAGTTTATTTATGTGTAGTGTTGTGAACAAGGTATGCAGATGTGTGAGGTGTTCCTCTCGAGTCCTACTATAGATTAAAATATCATCGAAGTAGACAACAATAAATTTATTTAGGAAGGGAAGCAAAACTTGGATCATTAACCTCATGAAGGTACTGGGTGCGTTTGATAAACAGAATGACATGACAAGCCATTCAAATAAGCCTTCGTTTGTTTTGAAGGCTGTTTTGCACTCGTCTCCTGGACGGATTCGTATTTGGTGGTATCCACTTCGAAGGCCAGTTTTGGAGAAAACAGCTGCGCCACTGAGTTGATCTAGAAGTTCTCCAATCCGTGGTATAGGAAATCGATATTTCACTATAATTTTATGGATAGCTCTGCTATCAACACACATCCTCCATGACCCGTCTTTCTTAGGGGTTAGGAGTGTTGGAATTTTATAAGGGCTCAAACTTGGCTGGATATCCCTTTTTGCCGTAACTCAGTGATGTGATCATGTAGGATCTTGTATTCCGTGGGGCTCATCTTGTAGTGTGGCAAATTGGGTAATGTAGCTCCGGGTAACAGATCAATACGATGTTGTATATCTCTTAAAGGTGGGAGAGAGTCTTGCTGGTTAAGGAGCTCAGGAAATGTATCCAGAAATGTTTGAACATTCGGATGAACTTCTGGAGTTTGTATTCCCTCTCCAGATGTAAAATCTTTGATTACCAAAGCTAGCAGGTGCTCAGATCGGTGCAGAAGGAAGTGTTTGCCACTACACACATGAAACAAATGACCTTTAGCCGCAGTTGTTGCCTCTTGTTGACTCTGTAAAGGTAATAGAACAACGGTTTTCCCCATCCACGAAAATTCGTAGGTGTTTTCGCTGCCTTTGTGTAGAGCCTGAGTATCATATTGCCATGGTCTTCCCAAGAAAATGTGGCATACATCCATATCAATAACAACGCAAGTTATTTGATCCTTGTAACTAGTTCCGATGGAAAGAGGAACAATACAGATAGTATTAACCATCACTTTGCCACCCTTTTTGATCCAGCTAACCTTGTAAGGCGACGGATGTAGGGACACTTTCAGGTTGAAGGGTGTGACTAGTTTATTGAAAATCACGTTTTCTGTACTGCCATTGTCGATGATGATGTTGCATATTTTCCCATTGACCGTACATCTGGTTCGGAATAGGAAATGTCGCTGGGGAAGCAAATTAGTTTTGGTCAACAAGATTCGTTCTAGCATACATGTTACCTGTTCACCTTGATCGGGTTCAACATAGGTAATGTCATTATCGGACTCTTGGAGAAAATATTGTTCATTGTCTTAAGCATCTTCCACTAAATTTAATGTCTCCCGTTGTGGGCATTCATTGGAAAGATGGCTTACCTGCCCGCACTGAAAGTATTTACCCATAGTAGGTCTAGTATATGTATTTGTTGGTCTTTTAACTGGTTGTTCTGCTGGTAGAGCGTCAGCACCACCTTTGTTCTTGGAACCCGAAGAAGTAACCTGTGTAGAGGATAGATTAGGGGAAATAAATTCTTTCTTGGTCGGGACATCACCTGCGTTCCGTCGCTGGTATTGGTATTTAAATTTGGTGGCTTGTTGATTCTCGTTGGTCACTACTATGGCAATTAGTCTTTTATTTTGTTTTAACTAGGTTTGAAATCAAATAATAAAAGACTAAATTTAAAATATTGCCTATAAGGGAACCCTGTCTAAGGAAGGTTCTGTCTAGGTTGAGGTATTTAAGCTAACTGTAAGGGAACACCTCTATCTGGGAACCGACCTAGGGGTTGAATTAGTCAATATTTTATATACATCCAATAATGTCATTAGCTTATTAAAACGTTTGATAAACTAAAACATTAATGTGCAACTTCAAATATAAATTGTTATATTAGGCCAACTAAAAATTGACTTTGATAATTTCACTTGGCCGAAATTTACCTAAGTAACATACCCTAGTCATAGAATCCTAAGTGCAAGCAAGAGAGAATATGTAATATACCACGTATATTTCTTATATATAAGGTATATATAACGAGTGTTCTAAATTATCGATCGACATGTCGGTGTGTCGACGACTTCGACATCGACACATGGAGGGAAAATCGTTTTTCCCTCCGTATTGACGATATATTAAAATATCACCGAAATGTCGCGAAAATATCGACATCTCGGCGATATTTACGAATATCGTAAAAAAAATTAATTAAACAGCCGAGTCCATAGAAAAAGTCCCAGCCCATACTCACATTGCCAGATTGAACGAAAATAGGAAGAAGGGGTGCGGGTTTTGTAGGCCCCCTCCGTCCCTTTTTGATGTGGGGTTGGGACTGGAGGGGATTCCATTTTGCTTTTTTTCCCTCTTTTCTTTTATTTTATAATATTAATATTATGGATTCCCTTTTGGTTTTTTTTCCCTTTTATTTTCTATTTCTAATTCTAATATTACTATTAATATTAATATTATTTAAATTTATTTATTTATTTCAATTTTCACTATTAACCTATTTTTATTCAAATTGAATTTCTTTTTTCAAAATTTCCTTTCAAATTCATAATTCCATTGAATATAATCATCATATGTACATGTGTGTATATATATCAATATTTCATATCTTGTTCAGTTATGTAATAAAACATTAGATCTGGTTATAAATTATTAATTATCAATAAAACACAATTAAGCAACATTGAACTTCAATTTACTAATTTAAATTATTTTCATCATTCTTCATTATCTTATTCCGACATTTCTATCAACATCGACATTTTCATAAGTAAGTTACTCATATTTTTACATATGACGGTTAGAAGAGCTTAATTAAACTACAATTAAAGTATTATTTACTAATTAAAACAATTTTTATTATTTTTCACAATTTCCGTGATTTTTCCCAAATATCCATCAACATCGACAGGTCTGTAAAATCGGGACCTGGACATTTCTATCGACATCGACATTTTGAACCTTGTATATAACATATTTTTTCTTTCACGTTTCTCTTTGATGTTCACACTGTGAGTTCGATGCTCGGCCTCGTGTCTACCTGGGCGCGGCCTTCCTACGGAAAGTGTTTGCATGATTCAATATCAAGGTGAATGGAGATAGTATTCATGGTAAGTAGGAGAAGGACGTGTGATAATGCATCCTACAGTCTCCACCATTAGTTTGCATATGAGATTTCATACATGACCTGCGTGTCGTCTTGAAGCGATCATTCCTACAGAGGGTCCATTGTATGGAACCGAAACCAAGGCAAACTCCAGAAATGGTTAAGTGTTTCTTGGGTCTTGCTCCAATATTTTCCTTCCCTACGGCGGGTTTATTAGAGCGGATCTCTGAGGTCTGGAAATGGTGGGTTACATTTACAAGGAATTGTTAAGATAGTTAGCAATTTTTTGACCAAATAAACAGTGACTAAAGAATATAGGAATTAAGAGTTATTCTGGTGTAAGATTTAGTTGAGAACGTCTCAATTCAATAAAGGAGTAGTCGTCTGCCCTACAGTGGCTGTTGCTCTAAATCATTGAAGCATCGTTGCAAAAGAATTTTGTTAGGGTGTTTGATTGCTTTTGCTAAAATTTGATTGAGATTAAAGGATAATGCATGAAACTAATATATTGTTTTTATTTTCAGCATGTCAACTTCCATTATTATTTTGCTAGCCGTTGAAAAGCTTAACGACGAGAACTACAAGCAATAGAAATCAAACCTAAACACTATACTTGTGATATATGATCTTAAGTTCGTCTTGCAAGAGGATTGTCCTCAAGCTCCTGTGCCTAATGCCACCGTGGTGGTGCGAAATTCCTATGACCGGTGGATCAAGGCCCATGACAAGGCCAAGGTTTACATCTTGGCAAGCATATCTGATGTGCTTGCTAAGAAGCACGAGGACATGGTCATCGCCAAGGAGATCATGGACTCGTTACAGAGTATGTTTGGATAACTGTCCTCACAGGCTTCACATGAAGCCCTTAAGTTTGTCTATAACTCCCGCTTGAAGGAGGACTCATCTGCGAGAACATGTTCTCAACCTGATGGTCCACTTTAATGTGGTGGAGTCAAACGAGGCCGTCATAGACGAGTAGAGTTAAGTCAGCTTCATTCTGGAATCTCTTCCGAAGAGTATCCTACAATTCCGCAGCAATGCAATTATGAATAAGTTGGAGTACACTCTTACCCCGCTTTTAAATGAGCTGCAGACCTACCAGTCTCTTATTTAAAAATAAGGGACAGGAAGGGGAGACAACGTTGCCACCTTAAGAAGGTTCCATCGAGGTTCGACCTTTAGAACTAAGTCGGCACCTTTATGTTCTGGAAGTAAGACTTTTAAGAAGAAGAAAGTTGTTGGTAAGGGGCCCAAACATGACACTGCAGCTGTCGTTGCCAAGAAAGGCGAGGCCAAGGTTGCAGACAAAGGAAAATGTTTTCACTGCAACATCGACGGGCATTGGAATCGCAATTGTCCCAAATACCTGGTCGAGATAAAGAAAGGCAACAAAGGTAAATATGATATACTTGTTTTGGAAACTTGTTTAGTGGAAAATGATTATTCCGCTTGGATACTTGATTTAGGAGCCACTGACCATGTTTGTTCTTCATTTCAGGGAATTAGTTCCTAGAGGCAGCTCGAAGCTGAAGAGATGACTCTCAAGGTCGGAACGGGAGAAGTTGTCTCAACTGTGGCAGTAGAGGAGCTTAAGTTGTTTTTAGACAAGAAATCATATATTTCATTAGATAATGTATATGTTTTTCATAAAATTAAGTGGAACTTGATTTCAATTTCTTGTCTATTAGAACAATTGTACTTTGTTTTTTTTTCAATGAATGAAGTGTTCGTTTCGAAAAGTGGTGTTAACATTTGTTCTGCCAAGTTAGAAAACAACTTGTATGTGCTAAGACCAACCGTAACTAAAGCAGTTTTAAATACTGAGTTGTTCAAGAATGCTAAAACTCAAACAACAAGGCAAAAAGTATCTCCCATATAAAATACCTATCTTTGGCACTTAATATTGGGTCACATTAATCTCAATAGGATTGGGAGGTTGGTTAAGAATGACCTTCTAAGCAAGTTAGAAGATGGCTCTTTACCAGCATGTGAATCTTGTCTTAAAGGCAGGATGACTAAAAGACCTTTTACTGGAAAAGGTTACAGAGCCAAAGAGCCCTTAGAAACCTTTGTGGTCCAATGAATGTTAAAGCTCGAGGAGGGTATGAATACTTCATCTCTTTTGTAGATGATTATTCAAGGTGTGATTATCTATACCTAATGCAACATAAGTCTAAAGCAGTTGAAAAGTTCAAGAAGTACAAGACTGAAGTTGAAAATCAATTAGGTAAAACCATTAAAAAACTTTTATCTGATTGGGGTGGAGAGTATATGGACCTGAGATTTCAGGAATATATGATAGAACACGGAATCACGTCACAACTCTCAGCCCCTGGTACACCTCAACAAAATGGTGGTTCATAAAGGAGAAATAGAACTCTGTTAAACATGGTTCGATCAATTATGAGCTATGCTTAGTTGCCTAAATCGTTTTAGGGTTACATAGTGGAGACTGCGATTTATATTTTGAACGTAGTTCCATCAAATAGTGTTTCTGAAACGCCCTTTGAACTATGGAACGGTCGTAAAGCTAGTTTACGTCACTTTCGCATTTGAGGATGTCTAGCACCATGCTCGTAACTAACCAAAAGAATCTGGAACCTCGTTCAAAAGTATGCCTAAAGAGATGAGAGGTGGTATTTTCTTCGATCCTCAAGAAAACAAAGTGTTTGTATCGACAAACTCCACTTTCTTAGAAGAAGACCGCGTTCGAGATCATAAACCACGAAGTAAGGTAGTGATGAACGAGATTTCCGAAGAGGCTACAAACACGTCAACCAGAGTTGTTGATCAAGCTAGCACTTTAACAAGAGTTGTTAATGAAGCCAACACATCACGTCAGTCACTTTCACCTCAAGAGTTGAGGGTGACTCGACGTAGTGGGAGGATTTTGTCGCAAGCCAACTTCTACGTGGGTTTAATTGAAACCCAAGTTGTCATACCCGATGATCGCGTCGAGGAGCTATTAACCTATAAATAGGTAATGGAAGATGTGGATAGGGACAAATAGGTCAAAGCCATGGAATTGGAAATAGAGTCTATGTACTTCAATTATGTTTCAGAACGCGTAGATCAACCCGAAGGGGTAAAACCCATAGGGTGTAAATGAATCTATAAGATAAAACGAGATGCTGAAGGAAATGTACAAACCTATAAGGTGAGGCTTG